AAGTGTGTTTCTGTAATCAGGATCTCTTTTTCTCTTTTTCAAGCTCTGCCAACAAGTAATTAGTGATTTCAAAACATGTAATACAATACATAAACATTGCATGCAAATCATCTGAACGTGATTGTTTCTCATATTATTCACGGTTGCAAAGACATTTCCAGTATGTGAATACATCCAATTTATTTAAACCAGAAGGAGTTACGGTGGGAATAAAGCATAAAGCTGCAGTGTCCTTTAATGTATAACCTGTCCTTTTAAATCAGTGAATTGCGATTTGAGCTCGATGTCATTAGCAAAATTATACAATAATTCAGTCTGAGCTGTTGGACTCCTTTGAGAAGAACCGGTATTTTAACCTAATTGCGGAAATGTCCTTAATTCAACCAAAACTAAGTTTTCCACAATGACAAACAAGCACTACAAAAAGAAGAATTTATGCCAAACCAACATAAGTCTGAACTTAATTTAACATATTTAGAACACATTTCAAATTCTGGACATGCGCCAACATCTCTCTATATTCAATCCAGATCCACCTAACAATACATCATGCCTTAACTAAAATCATATTTCGTTTGATAAAGGTAGTGTAGCATTAAAAAAAAAAAACTAAGACATTTCGCAGGGGTCTGACACAAGTTGTTACTTTTTTGCTTTTTGGTTCTGGCATTTATCAATAGAATGAAAATATGTTTAAAAATCATTCTTGAAACAAATAAGTAATGGTTTGTTTACTGAGCATTTAGTTTTATAAATAAAATATTGTCCCAGTAAGATGAGACTTATAATGTAACATATTTCACCTGCTGTCTTATTTTAAAAATAGAAGAGTGAATTTGTTTTGTTGTATTAAAATCAAAGGTTGTCTTAGTTGAACTACAGGAAGTCATAGTTCTATTCAAACCTAAATTCTGACCTAAAAATACTTTCCAAATAAGTATTTTTGGAGTTGCATACAATACACGGCATATTATATTTTTGGTAAAACGTATGTTTACAGGATAAATTCTATGGATGCCTTTGTAAGTAACACTGTATTTGTTGGGATCCGGGCTTTTTTTTTCTTTTTCCAGTTCTACCAGGATGTGAAAGACTGGTGGCTGTTTGGCTTCTATTTCTGCTTCCCACTGGCCTGCACAGGAATCTTCTACACACTCATGTCCTGTGAGATGCTCAGCCGCAAAAAAGGCATGCGCATCGCACTCAACGACCACATGAAACAGGTATACATGCAGATGACTGCTGCGCACATTCAGAACCACTGTAACCAAAAGACTTAGAAAGACGGAGAAACTCAGCAGCATCAATATTTGTCTTTGTGTGTGTGTAGCGGAGGGAAGTCGCGAAGACGGTGTTCTGCCTCGTGTTGATTTTCGCTCTCTGCTGGCTGCCCCTTCATCTCAGCCGTATTCTGAAGAAAACAATCTACGACCAAAATGACCCCAACCGCTGTGAACTGCTCAGGTAGGCACGCAGATACAGAAGGCAACGCAAGTGCACTGCAGACTTTCTCCAGAACCCATTGTTCTCTGCTGTGTGACTTCCTGTCTTTACTGTGAATGATGTCCTTTTCTTTCCAGCTTCCTGTTAGTGATGGATTACATTGGCATCAACATGGCCTCCTTAAACTCCTGCATTAACCCGATTGCCCTCTACTTTGTCAGCCAGAAGTTTAAAAATTGCTTTCAGGTAAGAGGGCACACAAAAGGCAAAAAATATGGTATTATTATAAAATACAGCAAATCAAATAACTGCATGTGTGTGTGTATGTGTGTGTTCTTGTCTTGTAGTCCTGCCTGTGCTGCTGGTGCTACAGAACGTCTCCCCTGGATGAACGAGGCTCAGGAGGACGCTGGAAGGGCTCTTGCCACGGGAACGGACTAGACCGCTCGAGCTCCCGCTCTAGTCAGAAATACACAAGCTCTTCATAAACACATACACACATACTCATCACAAGCCGCCTCTGCCACACCCTTGTTCCCATCAGCTCCCATTGCGGAGAAACAGCGACGTCACTGCCAACAGACCGGGAAAGGGAAAAATGGAGCGAGGTAGAAGGTAGAGGCAGAAGAACTGCGATAAAAAGGATTGACCCAAACTGATGATGAAACAGGACTGTACCTGTTCAGGCTGTAATACTAACGGCAAAAACTATGATGCAAGGCATAAATCATCATCATACATCATGCAAAAATCTGTTCATACTCCAACACTGAGGCTTGTGTAGAGGACTAAAAGTCTCTCAGTGGACCAACATGGTAAATACATTTAAAAAAAAATGTTTATTAACCACATGTAAATTTATGTACAGGATTGTCTACATGCAGATTGCAGATGTATGATTATATCTAGCCTTAGTGCTTCATGTATGAATAACAGCACTGATGAGTACTACCTGTTGAAGCTTTGATACCTCATGGAGGGGAAACATAGACGGAAACTGTGACCCTGAGTTATTTTCCGAAAAGCCTCAAAGGTTGCAAGTCTTTTTTCCAAAACTGCATAAGGGTGCTTCTGCATATGAACGCAATCAGTATTATCTGACAATTTACTGCATGTTGTCATTGAGTTCCTCAACGGCCATGTGCCCTGGTGTCATCATACCAGAGTAAAATGGGCCCCACTGTGTGTCATGTGGAGAGTCGAACATCGGAGGTCTTTTACCCGGAAATCATCGCTGCTTTAAGTCATGTGGAGGGCAGCTGTTGTTCAAGAACGCTGACAAATACCAGATGATTCCCATCATGCTATGCAGAAGAAGTCATTATTAGACCTGTTATTATTGCATTATTTTTAAGTGGTCTCTGTTTCCACTGTGTATAAAGTCTTGACCTGTCTCTTACAATGTAGCTTTTATTTTTCTAAGAAAATATCAAACGTGAAGCTTGTTTAATCGTCCAACATGAGGTGTCCATTTATGATTTCCAAATATTTCACCTCCATCAGCGAGTGGTCATGTTACGTAGATGTTCCTGTGGCTGGAAATTACTCTCAGAATTACTTCTAAGAGCTGCTTGAGGAATACATGTTGTAGGATTGACCAATTTAAAGCTTTAGGAAGGAAAAAGAAATCCTGTACAGCTGGATGTTTTTTTAAGAAGTGAATGTTTTTACTTAATGGTCATAGGAATTATTTAGGTATATTAGTTGTTTCCATTAAATATAATCCAGGTAAAATTCAAGATCTCTAAATCATTTAACGTATTTAACCATCATTTGCGAAGGAGAGATACAAGCTAAAGAAGGATCCTGTAATGATCTATTTCTCATTATGTATGTGGGGTGCAACACAGCGAGAGAAATTTGTTCCTAATATTTTATGATGACTTCAGTTAGGACGTCTGTGGCTACAGCTAGCTGCAAGTACCCAATAGTCATGCACTTGTGATGATGATCTTTAAAAAGTCCGACATGAGGACAAACTTCAGGTTGTGCCTGATAGTAAGTCTCTTAACCTTAACTTCACCAGGCAGGTTACATGGATTGTGTGTTATTGATGACCTAGATGAATCAAAGTTTTCAACACTGGCAGTAGTGAGAGCATATACTGATAACACAAGCACAAGATGAACCCATTTTATCCGGTTGTTTTTTGTCTGTCAGTACATTGTGACTAAGATTGGAAACCTGGAAAGTTTTCTACATCAAACTAATAAGCAAAAGTGTCCTCTTTCAAAACCAAATTTGCGCTGACGAACTAGACAAGGTGTTTGTTCACACTGAAGCCTTTTAAAGTAGACTTGATTGATGTAATATAATATATTAATTTTTCCTTTGCCACTGTATTTGCAACAGCACTTAGATCATCTGATCATGCAGTACGTGACTCATTAACTCATCATATCTATTTATGCCATCTTCGCTGTGCTTTTAGTTACATCTAAAAGCAACTGTGTACTGGAAGGTCTGAGCAGCTTTGAGGCTGTCTTTATAGAGGGACCACCAAGCTAATACATGTAGAAGTGATGTGAGGTTGAAGATGAAATGTAATGTGAATATCGGCCCTGGTGTTTTAAATGACATTTATACAGTACTTATTTTCTGAGGGTATGCAGTAATAAATATTATTTTATAGCATTTGTGTTTGAGTTATTTACTAAACAATTAAAAGTTGGAATGCAGTCTCACGGTTACCTTAATGTTGCACAATATGTCTGCATGCATTGAAGGCTCCCTGTGAAGTTTTTTACCTCTAGTAGCGCTGTAGAGATGTTTTTCTGAGTGAGTCTCCGTTTTGTTTATTTCATGCACACACGCATTCACCAATGACAAAATACACATTCCTACTCATGATTTTACACCAATGTTGGTGGAAATGCGCCGAGATATGCAGACCAGACATAGAAGACTGCTTGTAAGTTGCTGGGGAAAAGTCCAAATCCAGTAACTGAGAACCAAAATCACTTACAGTATTGTCACACTCTATAATGGTCAGTGCGTGGCACACAATGCTACAAAGGTTAGTTCATACTGTGCACACTGATGAGAAGCTTCTCCCCTTTTATAGCTTGAAGCGGTTTTACATCATGTCTTCTTTTATGTTTGTGCTCCCCCTCCCCAGCTTAAGTGAACTCTTCTCGTGACACATTCTTACATTTTATCCCCATCTAAGGCACTGTGGCAATTTACTACCCTCCTGCGAGCTATCTACCCTGGCCTTTCTGGCTGTTACCGATTAGCAACCCTCTGCTAGTACTCCCACAGGTCCACTTAGTCCTTACTGTGAACAACCCCACGGACGAACTACTTCTCAGAGGTGACCTTTGTTTATAGTTTTACTGACAGAAATGTTACATTTTCCTTCTCTGATGAACAGACTTCACACACACACTCATTGGACACTGTTACATTGAAGATACCTTGGGGTGCAATCAGGCTATGGTTCAAGAAACGGTTACATGGTACAATCAATCAAACTTTAAACAAACATGATTACATGTGCAGTAAATATTATTAGATCAGTTACAATGACCCTTAGAGGAATGAAAATAGGAGTTTTTTTGGTTGAACAAACACACAAATATGGTAGAATTTAATATATTTATGTATTATGCATATGTTCAGGAAAGATATTAAAACATGATTATATTTGTAGTATGTTTACTTTCCCTCACAAAGTGAACATGGATGCTGAATTTAAATCTGCTTTGCAAATGTTTCATGAGGAATGAAATGCATTCAGCACATTTGTTAGAGCTCAATGTTGTTGAGTAACACCAACTGTTTTTGTTTACAAGAAAGGTCCATCGGGCACATTTAAGTAGGTTCATTTTAACTGTCCTTGAAATGTTTAATGTAATGTGCTTTCATCTCCTTTATAGTCATTGACACTGAGGGTAATGACTTTTTTTATGAATGCTCAAAAATCTCTCCTCTTCCCCTGTAAAATTTAGAATACAGCTGTGGTATGAGAAACAAGTGCACTCTTGACAGGAGGGAACAGAAACAATCATAATTAACATCATAATGTATTGACAGCCTTGTCATGGGTTAAATATTAAGTCATGGGTGTCATGTCTTTTATTTTGTGAGTAAAAGTTACATTTCAGAGTAGGACTGTCAAAAGAAAACACGGCAAATGTTAAGCAATTGACCTCAAAGGCTTTTCCTGGTCTGAAATTATTGCTTTGGACAATTATACATTAGGCGCCAGGGGCCAGTTCCAAGAAGCAGGTTTACAGAGATAACTGCTGATTAAATCTCAGAAAATATCTTTTAGATCAGTGCCTGTTACTGATTTGAAGAAGTTAATTTTTTTTCACTTAGTAAAGCTGTTTCTTGGAATCAGCCACAAATTCTACAAGGCAGGGAACCTCATTTATTAGCGGTTACTTTATTTTCTTATTTTGCCTCAGAGTAATTCATAAAAGTTTGCTTCTGAGGTCCAATGTCTATGTTACAGAAAAAACTATTTAGAAATACTGGAGAAAAGGACTATTGGGGTTTTTCTTGACATGTCACAAACCCGGCTACAGTCAATAATCTAGTTGAACCCTAAGGTCAAAGACATACACTGCTGCATTAATAAACCTCAGTGCAGGATAAACAAAAATCTAAAATAATTACATGAAATGAAATCATTAAGGCAACAATTGTATGACTGACAATTCCACAAGTACTGTAATATAAATATTTGAAAGAGGAGAAAAAAAAACAAAGAAAAGCTTGTTGATATTAATTCAGTTTGGAGGAATTTCTCTTCAAACTGGGGAACCAAACATGTACTTAAGTGTCGTAATGTGTTTCAAATAAAACTTGGTTGAGAGTTTATCCCACATGAATAAATACATTCTGAGCATCACCACAGTGCGACATTTAGAACAAAACCACGTCAAGCATGGGGCAAAACACCCAAAATGACTGTTTTCGAAGACAATCATTTATTCACAGCAGTAAGTCTCCCCGTGTCGCTGTGCATAAATAATTTTCTGCACAAACAATAGTTTAAGTCTTGTGCCCACACATTTGGTTAATTAAAAGTACATAAAAAGTAAAGTTGAATTCATTTCTTTAATTATAAATAAAAGGCACCCTTATTCAGTACACTACACTTGGGGGGGGTTTGCTGATATAGCCTCTAAAATCTTTCTGTTTTGACCAATAACTTATGGTGGCTGGTGACAGCTAATGCTAAAACCCTCATAAAACCACAGCATGGTGTTTATACTGTATAATTTCAGTACAAACAATAATAACATGTTAGTGGGTGAGCTTTAGAGGGGCTGGTTTCGTATGAACAAAGCCAGTTTTCCCTGTGCTAGCTAAGCCTCATATTTACCCTTACATACATGAGAGTGGTATCGATCTAATTATCTATGTGCAAGAAAGCAAATATTGTTCTTAAATGTCAAACTATTGTTTTAAAAAAAAGAAACTGATTGTATCATAAGAAAAAAATACAAAATATTGGCCTATTCTTGTATTCTTTAATAGATCAGATTCCCCATACTGGCACATAAAGTTAGTCAAATATGAGTCATAGTTGCTGTTTTTCCTCAAATTACGTTCCACACCCACAGACGCAGCAATGACTGAACATGTGACTGACAGAGGGATATGATTAACCTCAAATAACTTTAACCTCATTATTTACACTTGTCTCCACTCATTTTCCCTCTCTGTCTTTCTGGCACTGTATGAAGTCCCTCACACCACATTCCTCTGCTAATAAGGACATTCTAGTTTAGTCTAGTTTACACTTCTCCCTTCGTTCGTCAAACACGGCTTCAAAGGACAGATGAGAGCAATTTGGTGTTTTTTTAGAAACTCATCACTTTAGGTTTGGACATCCTTCAAACAGTGTTACACGAGTAGTTATGAAAATAAATAATTCCGGCGAGTCAAAGGGCTGAGTGTTATTCATGTTAGAAGTTAAACAGCTTCAATTGCTTTCCAAAGATTCAGGAAGGATGAACACAGGACTACTAGATATTTATCATACACATTTATGATAAATCATACATCAACTCCAGCTTAATACAAAAAAGAAGAACTGTACAAATGTTTGAATGTGACACGAGCAACCTATTATTATATAGGAGACCTACTCTCAAAAGTAGATATATAAAAAGGAACAAATCAGGGTAATGTTTTCCATTTTGTTTGTAGAATCTGTATCCGACAGCTTTACAGACACACATATGGATGCTCTTCATTCCATGGGTTGCTCCTGCCTCTCTTTGAACTCGTTAACTCTTGCCTGGAACAAAATAAAAGAACGTAGTCAGAAGTGGAACTGAGACAGTGTGAGGAGTGGTAAATTGAATTAATGCTGGCTGACTTAACTTATACCATGGGACTAATATACAGAGCTATCCAGACAACCCGGGGTTTCTTCCTGTATGAATGATAATATTATTCCATGTGAGGAAATGAAAGGTTTACTCTCTGCTTGCCTTCCTCAGTTGGGAGGTCAGAGCACAGAGTCAGCTTCTTAACAGGCAGAGACAAGGAGCCTCCACAGAGCAGACGTAGCTGACAGCTGACACATGATGATGAGTGATGATCTCTGCTCAGTGCACAATCCTTTCATACCACTAAACAATCAGCTGTCATCCAGTTTTAGTGGTGAGTCAACAGAAAGTGTGAGCTTCTGAATTATCTGGAAACTGGCCAATTTTAGTTTGGACTGTGAATCCTTATTCCATTATTGTTTCTATATTGACTGAACCACTGCTGGACAAGAGGCTGGTGATCAATGTATATAAAGGAACACATGCACTTACCTGAAAGGTGTTCAGAACATGTTGGCAAACATCACTGAGCTCATTCAGGCCCCTCCGCAGTGGCTCTGTGGCTGGAAGACCCCCTGAAACAGACAGTAAACTCCTCTGAAGTCACTAACAGTCATAACAAAAACACTGCACTGATGATATAGGCAGACATCATGAGGGCTGCCCGAGTTACAAGAGAAATCAAGGAACTAAGCATGAGGGAGATGCTGTTCAGGGGCCAGATTCACCAAATATTCAAGCTGCAATTTATAACAAAATTGTCTCTAATCAAGTCAAATGGCATATTTTTAACCCATGCATGAGAATTCAAGAGCCCTGTAGGAGCCTCAGATGTATCTACAGTTTTCAATTGACAATCATTTTTGAAACGTGACAGTAATTGCAATCTATGTGTAAGCACTGGTTTGCAAATTACTTTTAAGGAAAGGGACCAGACTCCATCGATCAAGAACTCATCCAAATGCAGTAAATTAGCAAAGATATAAAAAATAAATATTAAGAAATGATGGAGGCCTAAAGGTTAGAGAAGCAAACTTGTGAGCTGCAGGATAAATCTGGCTGGGGAAAGTGAAAAAGCAGCACTTGCCCTTCCCTCATAATACCAGCACGGAGGTGCCCTTGAGGCGCCCAGTGGAGCTGCTCAGTGTCCAGAAGATCAAATTGTGGTTTTACTGAGCAGCTGCCAGGTGTGAATGTGTGCAAATCTGATTAGGTTGTTCCTGCAAAAACAGAGGCTTCCTCTCTGTGAACCTCCCTGTATAAATAACAGGGTGTGGGGGAGTCTTTCACAGTATTTAATTTATCAAAGCAGCAGCTGATTACTGCAGATGTAACAGCAGGTCAACAGGTAATAATAGAATAATGTACCTCAAAAGGGACTACAACTGCACACAAGTGCAGAGAGCTACCACTGAATGCTTTATTGAATGCTGACTGAACTAAGCACTATTTTTAAACATCACTCTGAAGTTTTTTGCGGTTATGGTCTAATTGATTGATCAACAAATTCACAGTGAAAACAAATGAATGAAAAGAATTGTTAGTTGCAGTCCTGTCCCTCTTCTGCCAACTGACATGGAGGACTTCTACCCACACATTTTATTGTGGTCATGGTGGAAAAATATAATGACAAAAGAAGCACATAAATATATCTGAATATGTGAAAGTGCAGTGGAAACAAGGGTTTTTTCTGGTGCCTGGAAGGTAATTGTGTCTTTCTGATGAAGCCATGAGGAAAGATCTCCCAGGCATCCTGAAACTTAGTTCAACAACAAAAACAACTTGTTTTCTCGGTCCAGCAGAGTCCTTTCATGTGATGGGGCTGCTGTTATCTGTAGCCACTTTGTGCAAAGTTGATGACAGATGATTTTTTGTAACAAGTGGTTATAGCTCACTGTGGACAAGAACAAGAGGGGGAGTATGTGCATGTGTTACTTAAGGTCAGTTCTTGTTCGGCTGAGTGGTCAAAGTGAATGCACAAGCCTCCAATCAAAATATTTACTCTGCAACACAAAAAGCTTTACTCTCTCGCTTTCCTACGCACGTATGCACGCGTTAAAATAACCTGGATTGTAAGAAGAAAAAGCAGTGAAGTGATCGGGGCCTTAAGGAGTGTCTCTCACCTCTCGTCTGAATGCGAAAGTTGATCTTGCTCTCTGACGGATGGGTGATGGTGTAGCCACAAAAGTCCGTGTCCACGCTGACAGGAAAACAGGAGAGTGAAAGCGAGATTTGTGATTACAATCAATGCTTTGCTTAAAGTGGGTGGAAGTGCGTTAGTGTTACAAAACATTTTCCACTATCAACTCGTCCCAGCTGACCTAATCTCTGAGAGCAAAAACTTACGAATCAAATACACACTTGAGAAGGCCCTTTTTGATATCATTATTATAAATAGTCAGAATTATGTCTGAGAGTTGTGAGGGGGGAAAAAAAGTCCCCTCCAGCTGGAGGCAAATCACACAAATTAAGGATCAGTCAAACACTTTGTACTTCAAACAAGTCATGCGAGAGTGT